TTTTTTGAGCTGTGACCGGCTTAGTAAATTAGCTAAACATACATATATACATACATACCTTTTCACGGGATTATCAATGTATTGAGTGCTGAAGTACTCAGAGATAGCATTTCGCACTTCGACTGGCCCACTAGTTGGTCCGTATTGGAAGAGATAAGATAAATTTTCCTTTTCATAATTCTAAATTGAAATGCAGATATTCTATACTATGTACATGATGTGCATATAAAGATATTACATTTTATACTGGAAAATTACTTACCAGACGATGCTTCGTAGCTTCTTGAAATATATCACAGCAATTTTCTAACAAATCTGGACCTGGAGCTCCTACACCTAAATTTAGGATAAGGTCGTCGTAAACATTCCAATCAGTTCCATCAAATAAATGTTTGAGTTTGCGATCTAGATTCGTTTGTGACATTTTACTGGCTAACCAGAATGGTGAGGCTGTGGAAATTCGCCTTGGGCTGTGGTATGTAGCAAGAGCTGTCAAAAGTTAATATATTCTAAATGCTCTAATCTGCCCACAATAGTTGCGTTCCAAATAACTTCGTGTAAAAACCTGTTAAACTCTCAAATAACAAAATTACTCTCTTGAAAGTGAGGAGCGAGAGCGAAACAATAGGTTTGTTCGTCGGAAATCCAGCAAGACTCAAAATATCAGAGAGTAAGAAAAAGTTCTCTCAAATTCTCTCTCTTGTTGAGAAACGTGCAAATTTCTGCACGAACGCAAATTTGCAGAAATTTGGTTACGCTGCCAGCTGGTGTCCACGGTTGCATTTCAAACATAATACATTTTTATAGAATTTTTAAAGTTCTTTCAGATGGACAAAATCAGGATACACATGTATATTTCTTGTTGTTCTGACTTTCTTTAACATACATTTCAATTTCTTTATCGTACCAGCTGGCGGGTTTCTTAAATCGACTCTGGTTGCAATTGCATTCCGATGGCGAATACAAGTTTTTTCAGCCGAGTTAAGTTAAAATCATTCGAATTAACTAAATTAATTATATCAACAAGTATTTACTTCCTTTTTCATAAAAAAAAAATCGCTGGTGTTTATAAATTTTTGAATTTAACGAACTTATTTACGACTACGAACTTATTGTAGAGAACTGTCACGTTGCTCTCACAATTTTCGAGTGTTGGATATTTTTTTTGGTCTGCACGAACGCAATTTGAGCAAAAGTCATGATAATTCGTACAAATTCGTACAAATTTCTTGCTCGCCGAACAAACCTAATAAAAGTCACCTGGAACTCGAAAAACCACTTTTCCTGTAACACTTCCATTTTTTTCAATGTAGAGCGCCATGGAGACGATCAAAAATCTTTATCAACCATCTCGCGTTATGCTTGACAAAAAACAAGCGCACTTGCCTTCTGATCGTCGTGGTGAGCAAGTGCGCTGACAAGAAAAAGAAATTGTTTGTTGAATTGACGTGTTTATTTGAACGTTTACGGGCTAGACAAGAGCCAACCTCACACATATGCAATGCTTGACGTATTTATTTGATTGGCTCCGTGGCGCTTAATGTTCTTTGCTTTCTGTTTTTGTTTACAACTGCAACCCTGCCTATCGTTTGACACTTTTCATGAACATGCGGGAAAAAATCTTCTGACTATCGGGTATCGATACGAGTACTTTTTTTCGATACCTGCCCAGTACTTGGTTCAAAAGTATCGATGCCAAAGTTAATTGGTATCGAACGAAAAGTATCGAGTATGTATTTGTATTTATTTATTCGTATCGTTTCATCCCTATTTGTTCATCAGCTGTTGTGTGTTTTGTTCCTTGAAAACATACATATTTTATTTTAGTTATTTCTACGCATATTCTGATTTGCAAAACGATTTTGTTTTTTCGTTAGTGTCAAAATTGAATTCCAGTGAATAAATCACTGCAAAATTGTTTCAAATGTTTATTTGAACGATTTGGTGTGCAGCATCAACGGTTGGCCAGTAAGATATGTATCCTTGACGATACCTACCTACTTATATAATTGTTTACAAATAGCTAAGATGCTGTTGCGCTTTAATTCAGCTGTAGTAAAAAGTCAAAACCAATTACCACCCTCAGCTTGGTCTCATGTTTTATGGCGGCACATTAGCACGGAATTGACAAATGCATTGCGGCCGTTTTATTTTGCGGTACATCCAGACTTCTTTGGTCAACATCCGGTTCAGCGCAACGTAAATGAGAACTCGTTGAAACTTTTGAGTGCGCATATGGAGTTGTTGTATGAGCGAAAATATCAGGCTTTGTACGAACCTAAAACATTACAGTTTTACATACGAGACGGAAATGCTAGTTCACGAGATACCTTCAAATTAATCAAGGTAACATTAGACCGAAGTACAAAGGATCCGAAGTTAGTGGTACAGCGTTTGTTGGAATTATGCAATCTTCCGACGGATTATGTTAAAACCATCAAATCAATGCCGGTTACGTCAGCTACGAGCGCAACAGCAACAGCAGCAGGTTTTACGAATGCCACAAGCCCTTTCAAAGCGGGAAACGACTACAACTATGGATCACAGTTCTCCGGCTTCGAAAGTTCTTTCTATAATGTAAGTTGATTGCGCGATTTTTTATTACAAATTTTCATTATTTCTCGAAGCATCGATTTTTATAAAAAAAGCTCTTTAAAAATAGAGAAGTTTTATTATGCATTCAACATATCTTTATTTTCTTTTAAAACGTATAGTAGCACACATTTGCTCTTACTGTGGGCCATTGTTGTTTCTTTTTGTTTGTGACATGTGGTGCAGCAGATTGTGAAAGTGATAAATTCAGTTGAAGAAGGCCTCCATTAATATCCCCACCGAGTTTTATACAAAAATTCTGTTTACTTTGATATATATATGTATATACATATATATATGATATAGCTATTGGAATTCTCAGCCTAAGTTGACTTTGTAAGCATTAAATTAGAGGAATACATATACAGATAAATTTGATAAACTTTCCTTTCCGTTTGGTTTGTGTAACCACTCTATGCAAGATAACTCATACTGCTTTAGCAAGGAAAACAACATACACTGACGTGAATCCTTAATTTTGTACATAATTTGATGATGCATATTTTTTATTAAAAAATAAAACCTTTGAATTAAGAATTTGCTTAATCCTTTGTAGACCAAAGAAGAGCAGAGGAAAACATTGGACTCTTGGTTAAAAAAGAATGCACCCATTGCGAAACTGCGAACTTCTGATTTGGATGATTTAAAAGAAGAGGTAATTAAGTTGCAGCAGGCTGTTACTAAACGATTGGGTCTAAAAGATATTCGTTACGATTGCGGTTGGAATTATGAGCATTTCCGTGGGTGCTTAAAATCCCTAGAGCGCATGGCTAATTTGCATTCTGATGAAATGGGAGCAATGAAAAATCGAGTTCTAGTATTTGCGCCTTTCACTGGCGTCAGCTTGGAGGGACATATAATGCTATTTACGGGCGATGTACTGACCAGTTGGATTGATTTCATAAAAAACATTCCACAACATGATGAATTTTTAAAGAAAATACCCCTATACGAGAATACGCTGTCTCAGGTCCTCCTTAACATAAAAATTGGTCGAAGAAAGTTTATGCCCAAACAACAAGCTCGAGAATATGCTGCACATCTGATAAAAGTGACAACGACACTTGGGGACTACCTTACTGTGAATAAGTTCCCAAAGTCGTGGCCATCCACATTGGCCGATTATGAAATCGTCATTGAGTCGGAGGCAGGCCCGCTAATGGTAAATCCTACAGGTCAATTAATAGCGCCGGCAACATGCCCTGGATTCATGTTAATCGATTTCATTACCACCAACTTGGATGTAGCTAAGGAACGTACGGAAAAATATCTCACACAGAAGACGGTAGAGCGGCAATTGAAGGCACAATGCCTACATCAATTACGTTTACATACTTTGACCAAAGATGACTCCGTTACTCCAGATAAAATGATAGAAACTATGAACAAACTATTAGAATATAACGATATGCGCTTCCGGGAACTAAATTTACACATTACGAACTACTACTCTGTACTGACGGATGGAACTGTTTGCATACCCTGGGACTTTACACCAAGGTAGCGTATGTGTTATGGCGGTTAGTGAGAAATGAGGTAGAACCTATTTTAAAATTTGGACAGCAATTACTACGCTCATTCAAAGAATTCCCCATTATTTTTTTATGACTTAGCCTGTATAAAAACGAAAAGATTATGTTACTAATTAATAAAATGCCATAATGCTCTTTAATGCAAGTTATATAAACAAGTATTTTGTGTATTTTACTCTATATATACATATATATGCACATATATAAATATTTCTACTTTTTTAAGCAAAAATAATGGTTTTTTTTTATTCCGTGACTGGAAAGTTATACATTTATTCATCTCTTCCGTGTGAAAAAATCTAAGAAAACAACAAAACATTCAAATATTGGGGAGGGGGAAGAACGCTTAAGTTTGGGCATACAAATTGAGCTTAAACTGCGAATCGATTTTCGGCCCAAATTCTCGAGCTTGAGTTCACTCCATCAGTGAAACAATCAGAGCTTCTGCTAACTTTTTATGCATCAGGCCCCTTATTTAACAGCACTTTTAACAATTCAAAGATTTGATACCTGCGGGGTTTTCAAGGTATTTACTAGCATTATAAAATACGCTTTATTTATATATATTCTGTATGATTCAATAAGCAAATTTTACTATTTTCTCATCACCATTTAGATCATGTAGCTGCAGTCCTCTATCCGCCAGAGACACTCGTTTTTATACAACTGAAAGTCCTCCACTCGGCGTGTGTATACATACTGCTCTGATTTGCTCCACATTGTTTGATTACCGCCACAAAGGTATTGACGCATACTGGCGTCCATCAATGCAACGCTATTTCCAACAAATACTGCCTGCCATACGCTTGGCGGTTCTGAGCTGTACACGTTTTTAATGAATGCTGGTGGCATAGAGCTATTGACATTGGAATAATTTGTTTCCAGCTTTATATAGCGCATCCAGAATGTGCTATAGAAAGTATACCTGTTGCCCAGAAGACGCTCTATTTGGAAAACTGAACGATACTTGTACCCACTGGAATACGTGCACATCAAAGCCGTTTGTGCGCACTCGCTTAGGTAGCCAAAGCTGCCAGTAGTGTTATGAATACAAATAGCGCTGGCTTTGTGCAATGCAACCATAGATTCCGGCATGAAATCACTGATTTGCTTCAAGTACTTTGGCAGCAACTTGCCCATGTCACATTCGCTTAAGAGTTGCTGAACATCACTGTACAATAGCAGTTGAAAGTCGCTATTTCTGTTTAAAAATGTTAAATGCGCTATTAGCCGTTGATTAGAATTTAATCCCAAACAATTGAGGGCATTTGCGATACTCCTATCGCTTTCCAACAGCTGTGCAGCATCGAATGTAACATTCAAAACTTCCTCAAAAATATCTTCATCCAATTGATTCAATTGGCTGATCACCTGGCGTACTAGAGGATAACTTGTGTCGTTGGCGCAAATGATATTTGTATCATTATAATTGGCGGGGTGCAGTGGCACTTCAAGCAATTGGGCACTACGCTCAATGAGATATCCGCGAACTTCCTTCTTAAGTAACTGAAACTGTCCTAGATTGTGAATGCCGTGCTCTTCCAGCGTAATATTTCTCATTGCCAAATATAAATCGATGACATTTCTGGGATCGTACAGCATTTTATTTGCTTTTAATTTTCGCCACAACACTTTGAAGGCAATATAATGCACAGTAGAGTTTTGGGTGTTATTCGTGAATTGACCGATTAAATACAGTGCGAGTGGCCATTCACAACTATCTACCGTGTCCCACAAAATATTCTCTAATTCATTCGAGGCATCCCGATTGCTGTTGGTAGAACTGTACCAACTGTCTACCACATTCTTCTTCGACAATGATTCCTGGCGAAGCAGCTCGTTGAAGAGTCTAATATGCACATCCATTAGTGTCGTATTGTTGGCTCCTTCTCGTCCATTAACCTCCAATACATTTTGGTCTTGCGCCAGCACTTGGCTTAGGAAGAAAACTGTAATTATAGAAATTATTAAGGCGACCATTCTCGATGTTTGCGTGCAGAATAACTACTCCGTGGCTAAACAAAAACCGAATGATTTCAAAATTTGGTTGTACTCGTCGTTAAATACCTCGCAAGCCTAAATAATTGGCTCCCTTATCGCAGGAAAACGATTTAAGGTGCATTATGCTCGCATTTACAATTAAATGGCAAGTTTCTAAAAACACTATTTAAATATTGACTCTACAATCGTATCATTGCTAATTAAATTCGACATTTTTTTATTGGCCGTTAGGTAAATGGAGGTGGGCGATGAAAGATGTGAAGCTGGGCACCGGAAATCAAGGTTTGTTTTAAATATACATTTCATATGTATGTATGTATGTGGGTAAGGGTGCATGAAGATTTTTAGTTTACGTTCAGCTTTAGGTAATAAGATCGGATTGGCTTGTGTGCTACCTTTACATAATGCCGTAGAATTTATATACATATGTATATATCGAGATTTTCAGAACATAGCCTAGATGCCTTCAAATATAAATTTATCCAAATTATCATCCGATGGGTGTCCCTGGAGTCAAGATGTCTTGGACTGCCGTATTTTACAAATTTTTATCACATTTTGGAAAAAATGTTTTGGCTATATGAGGTGGAATATTCTAAACAAAATGGCATGCATGTTCAATTCCCTCACTTACTAAGTCACATGACGCCTGAATGTATGCAACGTTGCATTTCGGAGCACCTCTGACTAAACCAAATAGAGTGGTCATCCGAAACGTATGTACTAGAAAACTATCCAAAATGGTTTTGAAACGGATGTGCTTTAGGCTGTTTTCCTGTTTTCCTGTCTGATAAAATTTTCGTTGAAAACGATTTCATTATGAACTTCACAGAAACGTTTTCATGGTTACAGGAAACCAAACAAAAAACAATTTTAAAATTCAGCAATTATTTTAATTTTAATAAATACTTTTATATGTACAACAAATAGTAGCTCGCTCCTCTGCGGTCGTTTTCGGATACATTTTTCTACTAAAGTGTGCATCCGATCCGACAAGTGTATTTAGAAAGGTACCGAAAATGATTGTATAAAGGATACGTTTTAGCTTAATTTTCTGATCAAATTTTCGTTGAAAACGATTAAACTTTTCATATTACTGATGGCCATAGTGTAATAATAAAAAGTGTCGTCAGTAACTTAACCTCACTGTTACTGGCCGCATTTTAAAGTAGTAAAAAATGTACTAATTCTTTCTTACTTTTACCCATTTGTGCATACTATTTCTAAACAATTGCAGAAAACTATATACCTAGTTACGGGGTTTCAAGTATGAATATATCGTCACTACATACGAATAAAGGCGCTATAGTGTTTTGACGGCGAAAAAAGACACGTAAAAAAACTTTGCGAAAAAAGATGCTTCAACTTTTGAGCTTGCGCCTTTATTCGTGTCTAGTGACGATATGTTTGTGTCGAGCTCCACACGTCTTGATCATATATGCATGTATTAGATCTAACAAATAAAAAAATTCGTAAAACGAGGCGATTTCCTACAAGGCTTGTGATGATTTTTGAAATATATCAAAACACATAAAAAGCACAAATATCCTTGAATTCTTTATTTTAGATCGTAGTTACGCAATTTAGTGCATCAACTGTTCATTTGACTTAATATTATGACAATGTAGCAAAAGTTATTTAATATTAAAAAACGACTATATACGAATTCTGTTTTAAGTCTTTCTATTGATAACACCGATATTTTTTATTAGTTTTTTATTTTATTTTTTTTTAACCACTGAAAACTGCCGTGTTAAATAAATTGTCATTCTATTTATACTTGGCAATGTTTGGTTCTTTTCTGTACATACATATTTTCTGCCGCAATCTTTAAGGGAAACACCGATCGTCAAAGTATCCCAAAATGGAATCGGCAAACGCACGATAGTTTTAAGGGTGACTATCGATACTATCGATAGTATCGACCCATTTCATATGTTTTTTCTAAATCCATTTATTTTTCGTTATCTTGCTTTTATAAATTTGTTTATTTTAGCGGCTCACGGTTGCATTTTAGTATCGAGAAATATTGCGTGTAAACAGTCAAAAAGCGATTTCAGAAATTTTCCCTACAATTCGCCTTTCGGAAATAAAAAAGTTGCTTTCGAAAGACACTTTACATGAACGGTGCCACTGCTCATACAAATGCTTTCTGCAATTTCTCAATTTGACAGTCTTTTGAAATACACTGAATTGTCTGGTCTGACACGCTCTTAAGACGGCAATGTAACCGCTGCTATTTCCACGCTTAAAATAAAAAAATGGCGCTTTTAGAAATAATGCCATGAACCAACTAAATAGATCACCCAGCACGGCAACCGCGTATTTGTAATTGCATTTGTGAAAAAATAAATAATAGTTGATAACGTCATTTTTTATTCGGTTGGAAAAAAAAATTTAAATTTTTTTAGTCTCCATAGCGGAATCTCAACTTTTAACCGTGCGAAACGCCTTAACCATTTCCATTCAGGACCAAAATTATATGTGATATCTGCCGTCTATTGCCGATTGAGGGTGAGACAGGAGAAAAAATATTTCATTTGATTTAAGGACCACCCTAATGTATATAATGTACAGAGCACAGTGTTGTTGTTGTAACAGCATACAAATTCCTCAAAGAGTTTTTGGGGAAGGATGTTGGAGTGACAGTTTTTGGCCAGACATATAAGGGTGGATCGTTCGGGTTATGTAGACCGACTGTTGTTGTGGGAACGATAGCGCACACGCTCTTCAGCGTAAGTGTATTAATTGACAATTGCTCGTTTGCAGGAATTTCTTTTTCGCCGCTTTATTACTATGACAAAAGTAGTCAGTCCGCTGGGGTATAAAATACGCCTCTACCAAAATTGCTATACTTGCCCTTAAATACACTGTTAAATAAAAACTCGCCAATTAATTAATTACAGTACGTTTTCAAATTGTATATATTTTCTCAAACATAAATAATCGACATTTAAGGGGCTTAAATCAAATAATTAAACTTTTACAAGCAAAACATACATGTAAATGTAATTTATACTTAACACTTTGTTATTGCAATTTTTATGATTTTTCGCAAATTGCCTTTTTCTAAGTGGGAAATCAAAATTTGAAACAAGTGTACCATACAACAACATCTATGTATGTATGTATATGCATGCGTGTACGTACTAATTTC